AGTGCCAAGCCTGTGGTAAAGAAGGTGAGAAATATGACTGAATTTAAGAAAAACATCTTGCTGCAGAGGAGGAGGAAGAGAGATGGAAGAAGGTGCCTTCTTCAGAAATTAAAGAGAATTTTGCTATGTGGGGTAAGATGGAAAGCTTTATGGAGAAACATCACCCTGACAAGGTTGTTGCAAGCCATGTTGGCAACATGTACAGTGACAAAGACTTGGGCCATTTTAGGGAAGTGTTAAAGAGACGCCAGAAACAGAGCTCTCTCCACAGTTATTTTGCGAGACGACTCCAGTGACTCTCAAGGTGGTCCTAGTGGCATTAAGAAACAGAGAAGAGAAGCAACCCCAGAAAAGCAATTGGTACCTGAGGTGTTGATGAAAGGGGATTCCCCTTCCAAACTGTAAACAATCCAGTCTCTCTCCTCCTCCAGTCTCCCATACACTAAGAAGAATCTCCAATAAAGGTAAGTGTTATGCTGTTAATGTTCCACTCATCATTTCCCATTGTATTGTTTATGTACATCTATATTTCATGTAAAAAAATTTTTTGTTTTAATACTTCTGGGTGTCAGGAACGGATTAATTTTTTTTTTTTTTATAAAATTTTTTCAAAATCGGTTCGTATGTGCAACTCCAGGGACCAATAATATGAAAAATGAAAGGAGACCACTGAATACTTTATTACTCCCAAAATTATCCACACTCACTCATTATCCCTCTTTTCTGCCCTAAGGTCCTCAGAATTACAACCTTTCTAGAAGCATAAAAGGTATAGAGATCACAGAATATCCCTCAAACTTTTATTGTAGGCAATTTACCCCCCTTTAAAGAAGGCTAGGCATGGAGATTCATTTCCGAGCAATGTGATATTGAAATATAATGCGAAATCCCTTGCATGAATAGTTAGTGGACTCCAACTATACCAGATCGGCAGGAGGGTTATTGAGTTCTGGCATTGAGGATACAATGCAAATGCTTTATGAAATCGCATGATGGAAGTCCAAGCCCCTGGAAAAAAAATTTTGTGTGAACCTTTGGGACACCAGCACCGTGTTTCCTTTTTAGATATAGCGTTACAATGTTTTAAATTTGAATCTTCTGTCTAAATGACCAAACCACCCTCAATAAACCCCTCTCTGCGGCTTGAATTATGGGTTTATTAACTTCACACCTTCTGCTAATCTTTGGATTGTATTTTACATTATTTCTTATGGGGTCACCCTTATTCGGAAAACGCCGATTTTAATAATAATAAAAAATCAAATATTATTTCTAGAATACATGTAGGGTATCCACTGCTACTTAATATTACTACACATAATCCTTGCTTTACGTTTATTTCACGGTCCTTTTTGCCAGAAGTGACCTCAACATTACTGCTACTCCGTTTCCTTATTAATAATAAAAGATGAACAGAACCCAATGGTTTAAGGGGACAGGCATGTTTACCTGTTGCAACAAAAGACCTGTGAGGAAAGAGTCATTCTGAAGGCAATGTGCTGAATTGTGAATAAATGCAAATCCCATTTTTATGGTCAATTGGAATCTCTACCATTAGCTTTGTTTCACAGAGGCTGAGGAGGGGTCAATTGTATTTTCATTCATAAGATAAACAAAGTCATCTCTTTTAAGAGTCTCACTAATATCTCATTGGAAATCCCAGGCTTAGGGGTTCACCTTTTTTGAAAGTTGGAAAGGGGTATAAAGTTTTTTGTGTTAAGGCTTGGACATCCAGCAAGTGTGTGTGTGTGTGTGTTAGATAGGAGCGAATGAAGACTAATGGTTTTTAGGACTTGACATGCTGTTGGAGTGTAAGCAAGGTAACATTTATGAAGGGACTCAGGGAAACCGGCAGGCCGAACATGATTCCTGGAGATGGGAAATACAGTGCCAGTACTCTGAAGGAAGGGTGTTAATGTTGGGTTGTATAACTGTAGTGCATGCATGCCTCTGGCAAGACAGTGATGGATTAAGTGAGGATGAAAGTTTTTCTTTGTCGGGTCACCCTGCCTTGGTAGGAAACAGCCGATGTATTAATAAAATAAATAAAAAAATAAAATATCTATTTCTACAAGTACATGTACAAGGTATACAAGCCTAGCTAACATCAATGACATACTACTACACAGAAAGCCACTTGTTATGCAGAGTATTTCAGGCAAATTTGGTCAATTTTGTCCCAGGATGCAACCCACACCAGTTGACTGACACCCAGGTACCCATTTTATACTAATGAGTGAACAGACAACTGGTTTAAGGAAACACGCCCAATGTTTCAACCTTCGCCGGTAATCAAACTCAGACCTTCAGTGTGGAGCAAGAGCTTTTGCCACCAGGCCATGGGCCTAACTCTACTAGAAACCCCTGACCTAATCCCATTTTTTCTCCCAATTGAAACTCTCCTACCCCCTTCAGCTTTGTTTCACTTAGAGCCAAGACATCAATCTTATTTTCATTCATAACATCCAAAATCATCTCTTTCTTATCCTCACTACATCCATGCACATTCAAACATCCCAACTTAGAGATTTTCTTCTTTCTATTTTTTAGTAAGCTATATGGGAAAAGGGATTACTAGCCCATTGCTCCCAACATTTAATTGACTTTTACAACACGCATGACTTACAAAGGGAAGATTCTTATTTCACTTCCATGGATTTTTTTTTTCAATGAACTGGCCATATCCCACTGAGGTAGGGTGACCTAAAATGAAAAAGCAAATTTTTTCTTATTAAATTTAGTAATTTATGTAAGCGAAGGGCGTTACTAGCCCCTTGCTCCCAGCATTTTAGTCGCCTCTTACAACCCATATGGCTTACAGAGGAAGAATTCTTTTCTGCTTGTGCACAGAGATGAGAGGAAATAAAGAGCAAGATCCATTAACCCTTTGAGGGTCGGTCACGTACAAGTACATCATTGCAGCCAGGGTCAGTCACATATTATACGTGTAAATTCTAGTGTCTTCAAATCTGGTGGAAGAAAGCTAGTAGGCCTACATATGAAACAATGGGTCTGTGTTGTCAGTGTGCACAGTATAAAAAAATTCTGAAGCACGCAGTGCATAACGAGAAAAAATCTCTGACCGTGATTTTGGTTTAAAATGGCGATTTTCCAGTGTATTTTCGTATGGTATTTATGGTTGTATTCTCGTTTTCTTGGACTCATTTGATAGGTGGAAGATGTATTACAGAAATAGAGATGATTTTGAGTGGTTTCATAATAACAAGTACCTTGAAATTGAGCTCAAAGCAGTGAAAATGTTTGATTTTTAATGTTCAAGAGTAAACAAATCACGCCACGTGTCCAATACACGTCAACTGACGAGAAATATTCTTTCACAAGTGTGCTGATATTATTTATACTGCTTTTACAATGATGCAGTAGTATACGTAACAGTAAATCTTACATTTTTTTGTGATAATAAAAATTCAAAATGGAAAACAAAAATATGTAAGACGGACCTGTAGACATGACTAATGAACAGATAAATTATTATTTTAGTACCAGGAATATCTATCTTGTTTATTCTGGACCCTATTTTGAAATTGGCATCTTTTGAAATTTGTGTGAAATTGGCCAAATTACCAATTTCTGACCCCTCTATTGGGTAGCTGAAATAGGTAAATGGGCAGTTTCTTGTACTCGATCAATAAAACAAATGGAATTCTAGCGAAATAGCTGATTTTAGTCAAATGGAACATTGGAATTGGCCGAAAATAGGGCTCAAAGTGGGTGAAATCGCCGATGCAAGAGCACAATTCTGTAAATTTTCCATCAAATTTTGTACTTTTAGTGTCATTATGATCGGAAAAAGATTCTCTATCATTCCATGAGAAAAAATAATTTTCTTTTTTTTTTCGAATATTTTTCTTGACCCTGAGAATGAGTCTGGGAGAGGGCCTCTCGACCCTCAAAGGGTTAAGAAAAGAAAAGAAAACTCAGATGGGTTTGTAAATATAATATAATGACGTGTAGTATGACCTAAGTGTAAGTAAGTGTTTATGAGTGTAAGTAAGTGTTTATGATGTGACAGAAAAGACACCAGCACTTCTAACTTCATGTAAAACAAATAGTTTTCTGTCTTACACTCATTTGGCAGGACAGTAGTACCCAGGGTGGTTGCTATCTACCACAAATCACCCGACAGGGATATTGCTATGTGCTTTGAAGACTTAAAATCTAATGTTCAAGAAGGAAGAGAGACAGGAGACCTCAAACAGCATCCATGACAAACTTAAAGTGTGGTGATAAAAATAAGAAAACAAAGACTAGTGGAATTCAGAGAAAACATGGAATTGCTTACAAGTATGACAAAAGTTAAATCTCATTAGAATCAAAAGCTTAGACATGAGTGCAAGACATAAGAGTCCACCCTTAAAATCATACAGCAATTACAGCCACATTTATTTTTTTTTTTTTTTTAACAAGTCGGCCATTTCCCACCAAGGCAGGGTGACCCAAAAAGAAAGAAAGAACCCCGAAAAGAAAATACTTTCATCATCATTCAACACTTTCACCTCACCCACACATAATCACTGTTTTTGCAGAGGTGCTCAGAACACAACAGTTTAGAAGCATATACATATAAAGATGCACAACATATCCTTCCAAACTCCTAATATCCCAAAACCCCTCCTTTAGAGAGCAGGCATTGTACTTCCCATTTCCAGGACTCAAGTCCGGCTACATAAAAATAACCGGTTTCCCTGAATCCCTTCAGTAAATATTACCCTGCTCACACTCCAACAGATCGTCAGGTCCCAAATACCATTCATCTCCATTCACTCCTATCGAACACACTCATGCACGCATATCAGTAAACATAAAAGTAAAATGGAATAGCATAAGTGAAGCAGAATAAAAATGAGTGATAAAATGGCCAAATTCAGGGTGCACATGAACCTGAATACCCATAGTCATGAAAAGGGAGAGTATTTTGTTTTCCATCACTATTAGTGTATATAGGGATAGATATAAATATACAAAATTAAACATAATACCAGTGATTGTAAATTCTTCAACTATGTTTGTCATCAGTTTATTTCTTCTGTCAATGTGATTTTTCTGTCTGTTATGAGCAGATTCCAACTCTCCTTGTCTCCTCACAGCCCTTGCAACCTCATCCTGGGTTTTCTCCACCTCTCTCTCCAAGTCATACACTTGCGACTCCAACTGAAAGATTATTAAAATAAAGTATTAAAATTAAAGCAAAAAACCCTATGCAATATCTATTTACTAAAAAATTAATGCTAACCATGGAAACATTAGGCATCTGTAGAGGAAGAGTAAAGCAAAATCAGGATAAAAATAATAACAAGCTTCCCATATCAAAATAGAATGATCCCTGCCAAGTGTATATTCAAGTTCTACCAAACGTTTGTCTTTTCCAGACACATTGTAAAGTCTTACCATTAAAATACAGTGGACCCCCGCCTTACGATATTAATCCGTTCCTGAGAGCTCATCGTATGCCGAAATTATCGTAAGGCGAATTAATTTTCCCCATAAGAAATAATTTTTTTTTTTTTTACACACTGGCCGATTCCCCCCAGGCAGGGTGCCCAAAAAAAGAAAAATTTCACCATATTCACTCCATCATGTCTCCCAAAGGGTGCTTTACATCAGTTTTTAAATGCAACATTAACACCCTCTCAGAGTGGGCACGTACTTCCCTTCCGGACCAAGCCCGGCCCTCCCGGTTTTCCCCTAAACCCCCTTCATAAATGTTCTTTGCTCACACTCCAACAGCACGTCAGTATTAAAAAACCCTTGTCTCCATTCATCCTATAAAAACCGCTCACGCATGTGTGGAAGTCCAACCCCCTCGACACAAAACCCCCTTTCCCCCCTCCCCCCAAACCTTCCCTAGGCCGCCCCCTACCCGCCTTCCTTCACTAAGCTGATCACTCTTGAAGTATTTGTTTCGCCCCATTCTTCACATGCCCGAACCCCCTCAAAAACCCCTTTCCCTCGCCCTCTGGCAACAGTTTTGGTAATCCCCACCTCCTCCTAATTCCCAAAAAATAAAATTCTCTGATTATTTCCCCCACACATTGCCCTCAGACATGACATCTCCACTGCCTCCACCCTTTTCCCTCGCTGCAACCATTCATAAACCCACGCTTCACCCCCATATAAGAGCGTTGGTAAAACTATACTCTCATACATTCCCCTCTTTGCCTCCAAGGACAATTTTCTTGTCTCCACAGACTCCCAAAGTGCACCACTCACTCTTTTTCCCTCATCAATTCTATGATTCACCTCATCTTTCATAGACCCATCCGCTGACACGTTCCACCCCCAAATATCTGAATACGTTCACCTCCTCCATACTCTCCCCCTCCAATCTGATATTCAATCTTTCATCACCTAAAATCTTTTTGTTATCCTCATAACCCTTACTCTTTCCTGTTTTCACCTTTAATTTTCTTCTTTTGCACACCCTACCAAATTCATCCACCAATCTCTGCAACTTCTCTTCAGAATCTCCCAAGAGCACTGTGTCATCAGCAAAGAGCAACTGTGACAACTCCCACTTTATGTGTGATTCTTTATCTTTTAACTCTACGCCTCTTGCCAAGACCCTCGCATTTACTTCTCTTACAACCCCATCTATAAATATATTAAACAACCACTGTGACATCACACATCCTTGTCTAAGGCCTACTTTTACTGGGAAATAATTTCCCTCTTTCCTACATACTCTAACTTGAGCCTCACTATCCTCGTAAAAACTCTTCACTGCTTTCAGTGAAATCAAATTAATCCGTGCAAGACACCCCCAAAGTTTGAAAAAAAAAATATTTTTTTACCACATGAAATATTAATTTTAATACACACAACCTGAAGAAGACATGCACAGTTAATACTCTACTAAGAATAGAATACATGACACTTACCTTTATTGAAGATCTGGTGATGACTGATAGGATGGGAGGAGGGGAGTGTGTGGAAGTTATTGTTAAGAAGGGGAATCCCCTTCCATTAGGACTTGAGGTATCAAGTCCTTTTCTGGGGTTACTTCCCTTCTTCTTTGAATGCCACTAGGACCAGCTTGAGAGTCACTGGATCTCTGTTGCACAACATATCTGTCCATAGACCTCTGTACCTGTCATTCCTTTATGATTTGTCTAAAGTGGTTCACAACATTGTCATTGTAATAGTCACCAGCACGATTTGCAATAGCTGTGTGAGGGTGATTTTCATCCATAAAGGTTTGCAGTTCAACCCACTTTGCACACATTTCCTTAATCTCTTTTTTCAATTCCATACTAATTCTTACCCTTTTTACCACAGGGATGGCACTATAAGTTTTCTTGGGGTCCATGGTGACTTATTTTGCAGTTACAAGCACTAAAATCACTGGGATAATGTGAAATGTACTGAATATATGTGTAGATGCGACCGCACTGGCTGGCTTGTAAAAACTGGCGCTTAGGCCACACGTGGGAAGCGTCCTGGACGAATCACGTAATGCGAGTTTTTTAGCGTGAGGCGAGGCAAAATTTTTGCATTAAAATGTATCGTATGGCAGATTTAACGTAACACAATGCCATCGTAAGGCGGGGGTCCACTGTAATGTAAAATCCACACCTGTAAACACCAACAACAGTCAACATTAACCCTTTGACTGTTTACGCCGTATGTATATATACGTCTTACGCGCCACTGTTTCTGACGTATTTATACGCATAAATTCTAGCAGCTTCAAAACAAGCAGGGAAAGTGTAGGCCCACATGTGAAAAAATGGGTTCCTTTGGGCAGTGTGCCCCTATAAAAAAAATTGGGGGCAATGGTGCATTGTGGGGGAAAGCCATTTCAGTCATCCTTTTTCAGCATGCTTTGCGGTAAGAATAGTGACTCCCCAGAAAATCGGGGACCTTCTCTTCCCAAGTGATGCCAAATACAGAGGAAGTGTCAGTAAAGATAAATTTTCATGTTTTTCCGGGGAGTTTGAGCCAAAAAGCAATGGAGGAGGAGGAAAAGGGGGGAGGGAAAGGAGGAGAAGGAGGAAGAAGGGGAGAAAGAGGAGGAAAAAGGGGAAAAGGAAAGAGTAGGAGGAAGAGGAGGAGGGGGAAAGGAGGAGGAGGGGAAAGGGGGGAAGGGAAAAGAATCTTTCCTCCGTAAGCATGCGTGTCGTATGAGGGGGGACTAAATGCCGGGGCAAGGGCTAGAACCCCTTCTCCTGTAAACATTTACTAAAAAAAGAAGAAGAAAAACTTTTAAAACGGGGGAAGCTTGAATGTGCATGGATGAGTGCAGACGACAAAAAACAGTGATTGGATGTTAGAATGAAAAAAGTTGGATGTCCTGGCCTAAGAGAACAAAAACGAAGGGGGGAGGGGGGTTTGGTGGGAGAAATAAATGGGGTTAAATTGGGTATTGAAGGGGTTAGATAAGGGGAAAGGGGTGCAATAATATTTAAGGATCGTTATGGAAGGAGGAAAAGAGAAAAAGAAAAGTAAATTCAAGGATTATGTGGATTAAAGTCAAGGTTGGATGCGAAAAGGGGCATAAAAGGTGTATGCACCTGGAGAAAAGGGGGAATGTAGAGGGAGAATTTTGGAGATGTTAATGAATGTTTTAGGGAAACCTTTTAAACCCAAATGAGAGAGTAATTGGGTAGGGGGGCCTGAAAGCTAAAGAAGGGGAAACTTTTGAGAGGGTTTTGGGAGTAGTTGGGGTCCAGGTGTAAAATGTAAAGGGGCCCTTTTACGAACTTTTTATAGAAAGGGGTTTTGTTTTAAAGGGAATACATATTTTTAAAAAAAAGAGGAAAAAAATAAGTATACAAGATATGATGTAGGGAAAATGACGTGTTTTGGTTTGGGTTTTGTATGGTAGATAAAAACTGTTGAGTAGACTTTAGGATTTAAAGTTTATAGAGGGCCCAGATATACAGATCACTTTTTAGTTGTAGCTACACAGAGAAAAGGTAGATGGGATACAAGGAGAAAAGAAGAATCAGGGAAAGAGAGGGAAGGGTTTTAAAAAAAAAGAGGGGGAGTTTGGGTAAGTAACAAACTATTGGGGTAGATGGGCTAAAAGGAACATAGGCAATGGGGTCGAAAAAGATACGGGGTAGGTTTAAAAATGTAGTGTTAGAGGTTTACAAATTTGTGGTTACGGGAAAGTGGGGCGGGGGGGAAGAGGACGATTGGTGGAATGAATTAAAGAGAGTAAAAGGGGAAAAAAAAGTTACTTGAGTTTTTTTTACAAAGTAGAAGTGATGAAAGGGAGGGAAGAAAAAAGGAGAAAAAGAGAGGGGTTAAAAAAAAGTGGGAAGCAATGTAAAAAGAGATCAATGAGAGAGGGGGGGAGATGTTATCACAATTTTTGTTGAAAATAAAAAAAGTTTGGGGAGGAATAAAAAGTTGGGAACCTAGAGAAAAAAATTTGTCATTAAAAATAGGGAGGAGGGTTATTAAAGGAGATTTAAAGGGTATTGGGAAATGGGGGAAAATTTTTTGAGGAATTTTTAAAATGTTGATGAAATAGGGAAGCTTGTTTTTGGGTTATAGGGCAAAAGAGGAAAAACATCTGTAGGAGCGATATAAGCGAATTGGCAGAAAGGTGGGCTAGGCAAAGATGAGTAGGGGGGGGGTTGAAGAGGGTTGGGAATATTTTTAAAAATGCAGTATTAGAATGGGGGGCAAAAAGTTTGGGTTATAGGAGGGGGGGGGCAGGGGGAAAGGGGAGTGATTGTGAATGAGAAGAAAGGGGTAAAAAAGAAAAAAGGGTACTTACGAGATTTTTTTTACAAGCAAAAGGGTTTTTATAAAAAAAAAAGAGAGTATATGGAGAGTAAAAGAAAGGTGAAGAGAGTGGAGAGAGTGAAAAAGGAGAGCAGATGAAAGAGGGGGAGAGGCACTTTCCAAAAAATTTTAATGAAAAAAAAAAAATTTTGGGATGAGTTCAACAAGTTAAGAAGCCAGGGAAAGTATGGATTTGTCAGAAAAAACAGGGGGGGGAGTTAGTAGATGGGGAGAGGGGGTATTAGGTAGATGGCGAGAAATTTTGAGGAATTTTTAAATGTTAAGGAAAAAAGGGAGGCGGTTTTTTCATGCACTGCCGGGAGGTATACCATCTTTTAGGAGTGAAAAAGAGCGATGTAAGTGGGGTGAGGTAGTGGGGCATTACGTAGAATGAAAGGGGGTAAACGCTGGAACTG